AAATGAAATTTTCACTGCTTGAATGCACTAATAGGTAGCACAAGGAAGTAGGTTGAATCCTCAAGGACATAGCCTAATTCTCAATGCCTCTTTACGTAAGTCACGTACTAGTCAAAACAGAAATTATAAAAAAGGGTTTTTTGATTTAAAACTAAAACTAAAAATTATAGTGAAATTAACTAAATGAAATCAGTAATAAAAACGAATTCAGCTCTGCTGCGACTTTCTTAATCATGCAATCCGTTTAGATATGGTTATTCAAAATGCGTTCTGTCTAAGCTGGTGCTGAGAAAAACTAACAAGCTCTAGTATAATCTCTTTTACCTAGTTAAATTAACCAAAAGAAGCTCTTTAGTTAACCCTAACTTTTTATTGTCTAATTAAACAAGCTCTTAATTAAGATCAGAAAAGTTGCATTAAGATCTGTGTAAAATTCCTAGCAATACCCAATACTTCTCACAAGCTCGAAAGCGTAAAGGTATGAAAGTTCAGTTTATATCAGAGTTAAATCCCAACACAGAACCAATCTGATACATGTTATTTATTACCAGTTGACAACAACAATTACAGATTCTATTAACTAATTAACTAGATTGATTAAACCCTAGCTAGGTGATCAGACTAACAAGAATTAAAATCAAACATTCATTAAGCTCAAAACTAAAACAACTAGATAGAAGCACATAATGAAAACCAAATCTGATAACTGATCACATGAAAAGTACTAGTCTATTGCAGAACCGAAAACTAGGGTTTTAGCTAGACATGGCTAAAAACGAGTCTAGAATAGTAAAAAGAGAAATCATACTACTAATTCTTACTAAACTAACTGAGAGTCACGATCCACAGTCTTCAGATCTTCAGAAATAGCTGAAATCAGAGAGAAATTGTCTCAGAAATTGTCTTTTTCATCGTCTGGAGCTTCAGGAATCGGCTTGGGTTCAATATGATCAGAGAGGTTATATTTATATGCATGTCAAAAGCTTCCGGAGGAATTTAGCCAAAACCATGATCGCAGATATAAAAATGCGATCGCATTTTTTTCTCAAAACCTCAAGATTTATCAGTTAATGAAGTACAATGTTATTTTCAACATTTTTTGAGTTACGTCATGGAAATGCGACCGTAGAGTCAAGGAAATGCGATCACATTTTTTGTGATTTTTCCATCTTATGACTTTTTCGACCTTAATAATCATTGATCAACAAATGCGATCGCAGATGTCAAAAAATGCGTTCACATTTTTGGCTTTTCTGCACGATTCGGTCGCGATTCTTCCTTTTATGCATTCCAAGTCATTCCTCAGCATCCTTCTTCAGTTCTAACTTAATTTAGGATCCAAATATGCATCCAGCTGCTCCCAAAATATTGCTCTACTCAAATTATCTAAAAACGACACAAAAACGCTAACAATACGGGAACTCTGATGAAAGACATGAGTTGAACATTATTTAAACTAATGAAATGCAAATGATATAAAATATAACGCAAAATGAGAATAAAAACTATCCTAAAAGATGCATAAAATGGCATCTATCATCTCCCCAATGAGCTGTTGCAGCCTACTCCGCAGGAGCGTGTTGTTTTGTGGTGGATTGAGAGTTCGCCATGGATAGATGCTACAGATTACCCCGATATTTGATTTATGGTGTTTTTTGTGTATGCTTTAAACAATTTCCTTATCATTATGTAGAAAAAACAAGTCTATCTTACTTAAGAAGAATTTCTAGAATATTATAATTTGGTACAAATATGACTACGGGTAATTTAGATCATAAATATCATACTATTGACAAATTTTTTTTCTTGACTAGTTTTGACATTAAATCTACTCTTAGACTCACCCTTACTTTTGACACTTGACTTAGTCCTACTTGAAGATTCAGTTTTGATGAATCTTCGGGAAACTAAGCATCAGAGTTTCTGCTTGTGTGATTGATACTGTTATGGTTTTTTCGTTGTCTGGCTTGTCGTTTGTCCATAAATGGTTGTAATACAACCATGAATTCATCAGATTGTTTGTATTTAACTGGAACTAGCACATGAAGCACAACCTTTATATATATATATATATATATATATATATATATATATTCATTGATATATTTCCATTGAGAAGTACAATGACACCCATTGACTGTAGTGTTGATATCCCAGTTCCTTAAATACCACCATAGCATGAGAACAAGATATACCGGACAATTACCATTTCCTACATGTGCAATAACAAGATTCCAAGCTGACTATACAAATTTTCATTTGGCCAATCACTTCATATCTGCTTGGATCAATCTGGTATACTTGAAAACCACAGGATTTGTTGAATCTCCTTTTGATAACCTTCTCATCATACTCAGTAATATCTTTTTTGCTTTGAGCTAAAAAAATACATATATATCTTGTCATGCACAATAAATTAATGTAGAATTACCATGGAAGTACTATAATTTAAATAATTACCTTTAGCATTACGTCGTTGACACCACCATTATTGCATTGTTGCTCGAAAAAGTCAATAAACATTGTTATTGGTAGATATAGTGCATCTTTTGATAATACATTGATGGACTCGGTGCTTTTTGATGTCATCTTATCATACTGAACCATAGGGAAACATGACCTTGCCCATTTGTGGTAACCGATTATGTCTATCCATGTATGTCAGTCATCAGATAAGGCACGACGTAGCATAACCAAGCTTTCTTTGAAATCAGAATCTCGGTAAGCTTTTACAGCTCCCAAAACAAAATTTCAGTTCTCTCTTGTTTACCGATCTTTGTTCTCATATTCATCAACAAAAGGCGACAACAGAGTCTGTGATATGCGTTAGGAAACATGGTTTGAATGGCCATTTCAGTTAAGTTGAATCTATTGGATATGATAGCCAAAGAGGTCATGTCCCCAATACAGTCTTTGAGTCTTGCTAAAAATCATATCCACGAATCTCTACTTTCTGTTTTTCCAACACCAAATGCAATAGGGAGAATTTGGTTATTACCGTCCATGCCTACTGCTAGGAACATCGTGCCCAAGTATTTCCCTTAATATATGCTTCATCAATGATAATAATAGGACGCAAACATGTTTGAAACACTTAAAACTACACAATAATTATAAATAGATTAGTCATTAAATCGAACAAACATGTAACAACAATTAAAATAACTCATTATATAAGAAATATTACCGCTCAACCGATAGCCACAAAAAAGTATTCAAAGTTGTTGTCATAACTTGTCTTTATATGTGTAACGGTCCATGGATTCTTCCTCTCCAAATTGTAAAAATATAAAGGAAGTCTTGCAAAGCTTTCTTTAGGGGTCCCTCTTAACATATTTAAAGTATACATTTTAGCACTCCATGCTTGTCGGTATGAAATATGTACATCAAGGCGGTTATTTAAATTTCGTTGTATCCATTTCCCCGCAACATATTACATGTACTATCAGCTAATATGCCATTCAAGAAGTGACCCAATAACTTTTTATTGGCTTCTCGATGATGGGGAAGGAGCTGTGTGTTTGAGCAAGTGTGTCTATCCGATAGTTTAACCACTTGAAATATATTAGTATCTTTATCTTTTGTAGCTCGTAAATGCCATTTACAATTTTCCACAAAGCAAAAATCTTCAAATCCGTCTTTTGTAGATTTGTTGACTCTTATTTGGAGTCCTCAATAACACATTTAAATCCTAAATTAAGTTTAAGTTCATCTTTTCTTTTGAAGAGTTGATACTTCTTCACATAAGATGTATAATTGTGGGCTGTGGTACCTTTACGTTTTTGTTGAGCTAATTCGGGCAATGGTAAAGGTTCAAACATCCCCCAATGAGTGGTTTATGTTTCTTCAATACCAGAAAAGAAATAAGGAAACTTTTCGTGTTGGGGATTTCAGGATTTTAGGGGCTTATTTCCTCATCTTCAGGTTCAGTTTCATCCCCATCAAATTAAGTGAAACTCTTAAAATGTTCAACTAGCTCTCCATGTGGAATTGTATTACCATCATCAACCAACAACATTAGTATTGTCTCATCATTTGCAGATTCATCAACATTAAATGCTAGAAAAGCATCATCAACAACCTTTACCTTTATACCTAAAATCACCCCATCTATAGGGCCATTATAAGAAGGAACATGATTGATTGCATAAATCTCTCGATACGCTGCCATTTCCCTCCGGTAGAAACTGTCACTCGAAAAAAATCCGTATACATACTCATTCTCTTAGAATACGAAAACATGTGGCTTGTGGATGAACAAAGAACACCCAAATACCCTTTTTAACTCTATGGAACAACAGTCTGAAATGGTCGTACATTCCAGAGTATAGTTCAAAATCCTACCAACCACCACCAACTCCAGAATGAACATAAATACTCCATAATTTCATATTCCGGAACAAATAGTCTGAAATACACTTTGTTAGTCCAAAACGTACGATTGTCAGATTTCGGACGTGATACTTACCAACCACCCCAACTTTGAAATGAACTTAACTACTTCGGAATACGATATTCCGGAGTAAGTGATCATTTTACAAAATTTATAAAATATTTTTTATTGTTATCAAATTGTTCATTTATATGGCTTAGATTACTTAATTTTCATTAAAGTTCGAAAAATTAATTATGTAAATACGAAAAGTCCTAATATAATATTTTTGTGAATAACTCTAATTTTAAACATTTAATAAACAAAATCCTAACCCAACCTACGTAAGTACATAGTAAATCATAAAAACCCAAATTTTAAACAAAGATAGAAAAGATAAATATTGCCCTCCAAGGCTCCAATCATGCCATCTAATGATACCTAAACATTGTTCTTTCTGCTAGCTCTAATATGTTATAATTTTAAGTGGTGAAATCATAATTTTATCAACAAATATGGAGCAACATAATGATGGATATGGGCCAGTCCAGAAGCCCAAACTAAGCAAGTCGATCATAAGATTTAATTTCCAACTTATTACAAAAAAAAAAAAAAAATCTCAAACATTCCACATAAAACTTTCATGTTTTACCTTACAAAACATAACTCGGATCCCAAAACACTATCTTTCAAACATACTCTCACAGTTTCGCTCTTGACATATTCAACACAAAATTGGATAAAATGACATAAAAAAAACCAACGAAAAACAACACAATCAACATCCGTGATCAACAAAGATCATTAACCTACAAGATTCCAATTTGTTCCAAATGCCAAATTTTGATTTTTAACAATCTCTGATTACTTTCTAGAGAATTCCATTTCTTCTGTCTTGGCAAACCTTCCTTTAATCCGTGGCTGGCCATCCGCTAACGCTTTCCTGGAAGCATACTAATAAGAAATAAAGTAACAATTTTAGTGACACAATGGTTTTTCCCATAACTTTTACATAACCACATAAGGTAATAACTCATCACACGTGGATATAATATAAGAACAGTGGGACCCTTATAAGCAAGCAATTGTTGGCTATCAATAATTTTTACCATGATCTTAAATAGATTCGGGTGTCTTGCCTTCAAAAGTATATATTTTTGTTTAGTGTACGCTAATGCCATTTTATGAGTAATAAAATATTTTCACCATTGGTTTTTAGTGACATTAGAAGTTAAGTAACTGAGCTTTTATTGACACAAAATATCATTATTTTAATGGTATTTTGTGATAAAAAAATTTGGTTGGTTATCTATTTATTATACTTTAAAAAAAAACAAATGATAATATGTAGAAATCAACTACTCCATTATATATTACCCATTTTTGACATTAACCTTCCGCTTATGAAAACTTTAAAAAACAATAACCTTAATTTTTCTGCCAAAATTCCTCTTTGTCTTCTTATCCCTGTATCTTGAAAGCTTCTGCATGCGAGTTTCTTGAACTTGATCACTCGTAACCTGTGGCTGCAACCCAAAAACAAGAATACACAGACCTCATTTAACCATTTTCTTCTTGAAGAGCTCAGAATCGCATGCAAACACAATGAAGAAATCAAAGTAAAAACCAAACCTTTATGTATCCTTCACTGGAAACCATTCGCATACCATGAAAATTCATCAAGTCCATTTCAGTAAAATTCATGGAAATCGGCCTCATTTGATTCCCATCCACCGAGATCAAACTGTCAGAGCTTATACTTTTTGTGAATGTTCCAAAAGGATACAAAATTTCTTTCGTAGTGATGCTATCATCTGTTCTGAAATCTAGAAACTCTGAGGAAGATGATGTTTCTTTTGCCAAAATATCTTTATGTTCTTCAAAAAGATTGCTCATGAAGTCCTCATCTTCAAGTGATTGAAGATATGTAAACTTGTTTTCTGGAAAAATGATGTCTTCTCCACACAAGCTTATCAATGGCTGTTCTATTATCGGTTCAGGTGCTTTGAAAAGATCTTCTTTAAACCCTAAGTCATAATCGGATATACTAGAGATCTAAAACAAGAAAACAAAACTTACTAGAAATAGAAAATATGATCAACCAAATTTTATTGAATTTTTTTCCAGTTTTGTTACATCATTAGTTTAACTAAGTATAAATTTATTTAAACCAAGTGTTTTCAGTTTATGAGATTTTTTATTCTAGCAAACGTTACCATACTTGTTTAGTCACTTAAAACATTTCCTAAGAAACAAAATTAACAATGAAAATAAAATAAAATACATGTGGATACTGGTGTAATTACTACAAACAACATCAATATTTATCACTATAATACACATCAACAATTAGCTAGATGTTTGATCGTTCCTCCATGGATTCTACGATTTGAGAAGTTTGATTAAGAAATTTAGATAAAATAAAAGAATTTAATCAGTCTCATTCACATTTTGGCTTTTAGTCGTTTCAATAATTCTAGCATACATCATAACGGAAGTTGAGAGTGGTATCATTAAAAGTGATCAAATGCCGTACAAAAAAAAGCCATTGTGGGAGAATTATTATTATTATTTTATTTTTTTTGTTTCTTAAAAATGGCAAACTAGATAAGCTACTTCTATATACTTTCATCTATAAGACCTCTCATCTATGAGAGTCACTTCTTATCATTAGACCAAAGACCCTTTGATTATGAGAATTAACTAACTTAATGAATTTAACTTCTAACCACTAATTAACCAGACGTCCGTACAAAAAATTATTGATCAAATCAATATCTAGTTAAAAGTCAGAAAACTCATAATAAAAAACTAAATTAAAGCTAGAGCCAAATATTAGAAAATGTTTAGTGATTAAAGCTTGACAAAGACATAAAAATGAATTACCTAAATGACAAAAAAACTTTATAGAACTTGATTACTATTTAAGAGTTGCCACTTAATTTGAAACAAAACTAGCTTATATCTTTTTTACATCTTAACAGTAAACAAAATTAATTTATCATTTACATCTTAACAAAGATAATCGTTTTACCAAGACACCAACAAAGAAAGTCGACATTTGTTGAGAGTGACTCAACCATAAAGATTAAATTGCTAACTTAAGACAGAAAAACCACTCATAATATAAAAACCAAGTATTGCAAACAATAATTTCCAAAAAGTCAAACGACTGATAGTATCACCAATAAAGATAGCTTAAAACAATAAAACCAGTGAAAATGGAATTACCATACACGAATTAGACGTCTGTGAGTGACAGAAATCATTAAAGTGCTGATCATCAGGTGAGAAATTATCGAAATAATGGAACATCGAGCCACTCTATGCATACACTTCTCTTTTACCAAAAAGTCAAAACCTCTTCTTTTTCTTTAGCGATACACCACCTGATTGTTAATGGAGAAGAAGCCAAAAGGCAAGAAAGATACCTAAAGAATAGTAAAATGTACTACACTTCACAACACAATTATAGAGTAAGAGAGGAGAAAAAGATGGACAGAGAGACTGTGAGTGTATTATTATTCTCTGGATTCTTGGTAACTTCTTCTTCTTTAATTTATATAGGAATGAACTACAAAAAGACAGCCATTAAAGGACCCTCCCCTTTTTGTCCAACTCTAATTTCGTTTCTTGTAACCTTTTTCACGAGATTAATAATGTTTATATTGAATTATGTAACACACTAATTTATTTATGGGCCGATAACATATAATGACCAAATTAAAAGAAAACTCAATGTAGGGACATTCACCAAGATAACCATATTTGTTAATTACTTCTAATATTTTAACTTTTTTTTTTTTTTTTTCTTTTTGGGAGAAATAGCGATTTTTTATCAAGTTTGTAATATGTTACGAGTTGCGAGACAACTTTTTAATAAAAAACTGTTGCTAAATAACGACATATGGGTTTTCGAAATACTCTTCACAAAAACTTGTTGGCAGTTAGTTTGACACTTTCAAAGTAGACGAAGTAGTGAATTACCAAGAGGTGTCAGTCGATGATACTCACGACGTAAGGCTTGACACCATATAACAGGATAACATCCTCAACTCTTGTATGGTTGTATTGACATGGGAACAAAATAAGATAGTTATTTATTGATAATTGCTTAACGTTATGAAAATAAATCGATTTAATCTTTTTATTTATTATTATTATATTTTTTATCATGGTTGCACCTAAGTAATGGTACCATAGATTATCAAGTTACTTTAATATCATTGAGAACCTTCTATTCCATGTGATCTACTTCAGGTAAGGGTATTGTGAAAAGAAAATTACTAACTTTACAATTATACCCTCATCCTCCTTAATAAATCATCCTCCTTAATAAATGAAAGTTTTTTTGCCAAATGTTATTCTCTTATGAGTTTTGACACTTGTAATTTTTGTGGTATTTTTGAAATAAATATTATCCACTTGTCAATTTTTGATTTGTTTTAATTTTTAAAATTAAAGTCATATACTTATATATGTAAAATATTAAATATCATATATATAATATTAAATTGCAATAAATACGTTTCTTACCTTCTTATTTTAAAGTTGTACATTAAAAAATATTTTATGTTACACTTTAATTTAATGTTTAATTTTTTTTAAATCAACCCGTGTAATACACGTGTCTCACACCTAGTGATAAATATATCACCAACACATATTATACAAGTAAAATATCTTAAAATGCAAATACTCTTAAAATTGAATGCAAATACTTGTGGCTATCTCTTACTGGATGTACAAAAAAATCCTTAGCAAAATTTTGCTAGTTTATATAAATTGTGTTTTTTTTTGAACAGCAGTGATATATAAATTGTGTTAGTTGTATATATTGATAAATAATATAATTTATTACATATACTAATAAACATATATAGTAATATGACAAATAAACAGTAAACTTGTGTGAATATATTTTATCATTACGTAGTGAAATCATAAAACAAGGTAAAGCTAATAAAAGCAAACGATAAGATTACAGATACATACAAAGACTTAGGGAAGAATAATAAGTGTATTGTAGCTTATACTTTCCCACCATTCATGTGAGGTCTCTCAATTTTCTTCATACATAAACAAAAAAAATTGTGTCAACACATGGTATTATTTAATTGAGTTGAATTGTAAAAAATGTAAAGCTATTGAAAAACACTGCAATATGAGTTGAATAAAAATACTTGTGTTGTAGCTTACGGTCTCCTTCATGTTTCTATGGTGTGTCTCGATTTTCTACCGGCTACAATAAAATTGGTGTGAACATGTGTCACCTTTAATGTGGTGGAATTGCAGATGAAGTGTAAAACTATTAAAACTAAACAATTAAATGTATTACAGATACATACCAAACAATTTCTGGTTTTTTTCTCATATGCTGGAGTAATAATTGCCTTCTTCCTCTAATATTCTCGTATGTTGTGGGTTAATTTCTGTGTGGGTTAATGGTGGAATAACTACAATATATATCAATAAACTAAATAATCCATGGAAGTAATGGAATAAATTATCCTCTAAATAATTTTACCATTATCTGATTAACTTAATAAAATATAAGTTTTGTTTCATAATTTGTTAAGCATGATTATCTTTTTTTTTCTTCGAAATGAGGTTTTTTATCTGATAATCTTATTTGTTTTTAGTGATAATCTTAAAAGTTAGCTTTAAAATTAATATATGATTTATAATTTTATTTGTTTTTTTTTTATTTTTTGCATATTTGAGAAGCTTTCACATTTAAATTGATCTCCTCATAACTTTCATTGGTATTGTAGATAGGGAATAGATTCAAAAGGCAAGCTACAAAAAACCTGGTTGCTGAAAAACGGGTTCTATGATCCTCCCGTAATTTGTGTCTCACCTTTATAAGACTCGGTTCTGTAATAAAAATCGGGTTGTGTTGATTTTTACTAAAAGCCTCAGTTGTAGTGATAGAAACCAGGTTTTTTAAATACACAATAGAGCCAGGTTCCTTAATATAAACCATGTCTTATTAGTTTTCTATTCATTAAGCGCGGTTTTTGCATATTAGAAGCCGATTTTTTCAAAAACCGGGTCTTATAGGGTGTGTCCTATGTGCCTCTTTGTAGTAGTGAAACTATTCTAATTTCGTTCATTCAGTGGCTAGTAAGATGTGCTTTGTAGGTTCTAATATCAACTTATATTTACAAACGCTTGGAATGAAAAATGTTAACACGATGGTTACCGAAAATGATGTGAGATACTTTGAGTTTGTGTAGCGTCCTAAATTTTTAACCAAAATTTTCTTTTTGAAATATAATTTAAACAACCAACAATCATTTTGTTAAAAAGAAACATAATCATCCATTTGATTCAAACATCATAAAACATATAGTACAGTCAAACGAAAATCTTGAAACATAAACATACCAAAGATGCGAGTAAAGCTACATGTAACATCTCGATTTCCAAGTATTTTACATTTTGACAATTTGTATGAGAATTGTTTGCAAATTGGTCACAAATGACATTTTAATAAAAAGTGGGGGCTGCATGAGTACGCTGGGGGTACGTGGTTCGGGGTCAAACCCTAATTTTTAGGGTTTGGACCCTATTTAAACATCCTTAACTCTTTGAGATCCCTTCATTCATCAGCCTCCATCCCCATCTTTGTCCCAAGCAAACCCTAATTCCTTGTTTGCGCCTTTTGAGCTTGAAAGTGTGCTTTATGGTATTCTTGAAGGAAGAAGAAAGAGAGGAGACCATCTTAGAAGAGTGAAGCGCTTTGGATCCAGAATCACATCATCATTTTGCACCACTTGGAGGTAAAAAGCTCTGATCTTGATGAAGTTTTTCTTAGATCTTGTTAGACATGGATCTGTGTTCATTTTAGTCCCATAAGCTTGGTGTTTATGAGTATGGTTTACTCTAAATCATATGAGTTGTCCTTTCAGACGTTTTGAAGAGTTTAGAGTCATAAAAATATAATCTTGATCCTTAGTTTCCCTCCATGCATGCTCTTTAGTGGTTTAGACCTTGTATTAAGTTAGGGTTTTGGTATTAGGAACTTCATAGCGATGCAAGATCATAAAGTTGGAAACTTTATGATTAAGGATGTCATTTGAGGACTAGATCTGGACTTTAAATGAAAGGGCTTAAGGGACTAAGCCCTTAATAGAAGGAAAAGTTGGCTGGCACGTACGCTGGGCGTACGTTATGGTACGCTGCGCGTACGTGATCAACAGCCTGTATTTTGGTCAAGACGCTAGTACGTTGTGCGTACAAGCTGAGTACGCTGGGCGTACTCAGATGAGTTGACTCGATTGATTTCTTTGACTTTGACTAAGTTTGACCTAAGGGTATTTTGGTTATTTTGAGTTGTAGTTGAGTTTGATCACTATTTGATGCATATGTGACTTGTAGAGCTAATATTCAAAGCAGTGTCCTGTTCAACTATCTTTCCGGGATGAGAGGTGAGTTTTCCTCACTGTACTTGTGGGTCGACGGCACCAATGCCAGCTCATTGGATTAGATAACCTGGTTCGCTATGTGATGTTTTGCTGATAGTGTGTTCACTAGTTATGTGATTAGACTGGTAGATCTGTATGATTACCTGTATTGTTGTATATGTGTTAGGCTGGTAGATCTGTAGGACTACTTGTATTTGTTGATTATTGATTGTTATTGTATATCTCGACATGTTATGGTTTGTTGGGTTGAGGCGGACTAGCTCGTGCTAAAGGCCAAGATACCCAGGGCGGTCCAGATAGAATGAAAGCCTGCAAGGCGGTCCAGCTAGGCCGAAGGCCTGAAGAGCTGTCCAGATAGGTTGAAGGCCTGGTGAGGTGGTCCAGTCATGCTGAAGGCTCTAAGAGCGGTCCAAATAGTCTGTAGGCCCGCGAGGCGGTCCATTCATGCTGAAGACTCATGTATGCATGCTGTTGTCTGTATGGTTGTGCGTGTGGTACTTTGGGGGAGTTTACTAAGCTTTAGCTTACAAATTAAGTTTTATGTTTCAGGTACTTCAGATGATCGGGGGAAAGAAAAGGCGTGATCATGCACATCCTTCTGATTTTTTTTATGTTATTGGATCTTGTGATACTTTGATTTATGATTATTACATTTGGAACTATGCTTTGTAAACCGTTATGGTCTTTGAAATGGTTTTTAAAAATGAAAATTTTACTCTGATTTTTGGGATGTTACAAGTTAGTATCAGAGCCCTGGTTTGAGAAAATTGGATGAGCATTCTTGTGAATCCAGACTCAAACTAAGGATCTATAAGAGTTTTCAAAATTGTTTTCAAAGGTAACCAAGGAAGGATAAGAGGTGTACGATCAGCCGGAGCAAGAAAGTTGTGACATCCCCATTTTCACGGCCAGAAAAGACCGGTTTGTTTATGCTTTGTTTTAAAATCAGAGTTATCTTTTAAAGAAAACAGTTGCGGAATTTGTCCCAAAAACAAAATATGATAACCATTTATCAAAGCATTTCTTTTAAGAAATGTATTTTCATTAAATAACAAAATCTCGGGATGTCATGTTCTGATACAGACCAAAAGCAT